GCCTCTGAGGAGTCAGTGCTTAACAACCCCAGCATCCTTTCCTGCCCATGGCAGGGGGTTGGACTTGATTTGCTCAGGTCCCTTCCGACCCTACCAGCTATGAAACAATGAAATAGTCTCTAGCACTTGCCTTAAGCAACTGGCCCAACATCCCAAACTCTGCTCCGTGACACTGGCTGGGCAGAGAAACAATCACTCAACCCTCGCTACCTCCTGTGGATGTGTGAGGGGTCTCTAGGGTTTCCCACATGACCACAAATGCCTGATATCAGGGGAAGGGTCCCAGCAGTGCAGGCTGCAGGGGTAGGGGCCGAACGTTCCCTTCCTATTCTGGGCTCCACGGCCTATGCCTGGGGCATGCACTGGGTGCTTCTCTTCCTCGGCTTGGACCCAGGGCTCCAGGCCTAGAGCTGGGGTCATCTTGAATGAGGCCACTGGGCTCTACCATGCTTCCTACCTCAGATACAGTCCAGCCTCTCCCAGCCAGGCCAGGAAGAGGTATAGCCTTCACCCCTCTGACTTCCACCAGCCAACTGCTATTGGGCACGCTAACATCCACAGCAGGAAGTCCCAGACCAAGGGGAGAATTCAAACTCAGGAAACCACAGATCACCTTGGTGTGAGGCAATGAAGTCCAGGAGAGCCGCAGCTCGGTTTCCAGGCTCCTAGCCTGCTGAGCTCAGTCGGGCTAGCACCGTACAGTTTAGGAGGGTCCAGGGGGTTGCCACAGCTCTGTGCATGCTGTCTCCAAGACAATCTACAAGTAGGCTGCTCTCAGGAGCCCTGGGGACACGATCAGCTGGCCCCACTGCAGACCCCACTCAAGGCACGCTGGCTTTCACCCATCCCACTAATATGCATCAATTTTCCAGCTCTCTGTGGTGTAAGAATAATCAGCTGTTCAAGGGACAGATCTATGGGCAAGGCTGAACAGCAGGAGGGTCTTAGTTGCTAGCAAAAGCAAGGCAAAGATGAGAGTGGTGGTTTTTAACTTTTTTTAGACTCCAGGCCCCACTCAGAAAATGCCAGCTCTGAGCTTTCATTCGTTTCTCAGCTAAAGAAAAACACGAGAGCCATTCTTCTCTGGTGAGGAATTCAGAAAGGCCCTGACAGGCCAGAATGGTTTTCAACTTGAAATCTGCAGAGCTATTTTGTGAAGTGCATTCACACACCTGACCCTGTGCCACCCCCTGAAAGGCTCTCTAGGCACCCCGGCTGAGAAGCACAAGAGAGTATGTCAATACTCTCTACACTGCACAGAGCTGCAGCCAGGGGCAGGCTGCGAGAGCTGCGAGGTGTTGCTTGGGTTCGAGGCCTTCTGCCCTGTGCTCGTTGAGTGGGTAGCCACCACACAGAGGGCACGAGATAATACAACAGCAAAGCATTTCTCCTGGCTGGTGGCTCAAATTTGCCCCCACTTTGTGACACCAGACCTGTCTCATCTAATCACTTTTTTAACTATAGCTTCTCCCCACGTGCTGTGGGATCCCAGACGTTGGTGGCGGTTGGATCCAAGCAAATTAACTTGGTGAGGCGTGCCTCAATGCCTTAGTTGGAGATGCAGGCCAGCACCGAAAGAAACACGGACCATGATGGGTCCACACTCGCATCCCATCCTGGACATGGTGTTTCTGGGGTGTTTCTGGGGCCCGTCAGTTTTTAGGACAATCAGACTAGGGAAGCTGTTCTCTCACCAGGTTGCAGAGGGGAAAAGTAATCCTGCAAGGATACTGAGACCTCATCTCCTTTCCCTGGTGTCATATGAGACCCCAAACTGGAAATACCCGCAAGGCTGGAGAGTTGGAACTAGAAGGCGAGGAAAGGCCAGATTCAAATGCAAGTCCGTGGGCTGTGTGCCTGAGCCCATCACCCCCTTGGGGGAACGTTGCCAGGAATAGCATGCAGCTTGCTGGTGTCACAGCCCAGATCTTGCCTTGCAAGGGAACGTCTCCTCTGACACAGCAGCCTTCCACTGCACTGTCTGGCCTGGGCCCCGAGCAAGGCGGAGAGCCTACCAAGCCCTGCTGCACAAGATCCCATGGCATGGAGACTACCCCGGACACTTGGATTTGCTGCCATCCTGGTAACATGCACAGGACCTGTGGTGTCACCCACCAGCTTGGCACTCCTGGCCTCTGCAATGGGCAGTGTGCATGCTCCGGAGCTTGGCGAGATGGGAACGTGCCCAGTGAGACATAAGCGATGAGCCAACTAGCAGCGGCTACTACCAGTGACTACTACTCCAGCCAAAATGTAGAGGAATGCTATGGGGATGACCAGTGGCACCTTCCTGACTCCAAAGACTGTCCCCTGCTAAACCTCATGCCCCTGATCCAAACGGAAGAAGCTCCCTCCCCGGCTTCTATCTGGGCCAGCCAGCATTGTTCTGCCCGCCCGAGATCTTCAGCTTCATGCATGAACCTCATGGCCGTGGTTCTCCCCTAGGCAAGGCCTTGGTGTCTCCACCGCACAGAGAGCATGCAGGCCAGAGTCACTGACAGAGAGACTGGCTCCTGAGGAACTGCTGATGGTAACAGGGTGAAGCCCAGTAGAGGAAAGCTGGGGCTGGAGAGCTGAGAGACATCTGAGGTGGTGGACAGGTCTCCCCATTAGGAGATTTAGACTATTTATGAGTGGTGGGTCCCCAGAAAGCCCCAGGAGACAAGTGAGACTAGGACCCTTCACCTTCCCCTACAATGTCCCTGCACTGACCTCTTGCTCATGCAACCCAGAACAACCCCGGGCACTGGCCTACATCCCTGGGTGCTGCCTGCCTCCCCCACTTGCAGTGATCCCTGCTCACAAGGTCCCTGACATACCAGACAGTTGGTGCCTTATCAACTTGACCAGGCTGCCTCAGTCTCTGATCCTCCATCAGTCCTGCAGGTGCTGATCTAGTTTAAATATTTCTGCCACGGCACCTCTTAAGTGTTCTTATCCTCCCAATCTGGTCAACCTCTTACACCTAAAACCCTGCTAATCCGCATTGCAAAGCTGGCTGTCCCCTCCAAGCTGAACTGAAGCCAGGGCTGCTGGCTAGCAGGGTCCGAACAGAGGTTAGCCAAGTCTGATCATACATATCCCACCTCTGGCAGCCTTTTTCTCCTTCCTCCCTTCCATGCCGCTAGCAAAACCCACACGACTTCCCCTTCCCCTCTGCTCGGCCTCATCACCCACCCCCAGACATTGCTCAAAACCCATGGGGTCAGAGCAGTGCCAACCATCCCTCCCCATGGGCCAGGACTTCACAGCGCTAGGAGTTGCACAGACCACAACCTTCCCTTACTGAAACTAGCCCTTCCAGCATGAGATCACGAAGCTCTAGAGAAGCACCAGCAGGCCTGCAGCAGAGGGCAGAGTTAAGGTGCTGCATACAGCCTTAGCTTTTGGCTTCCTTGCATCAGCCACAGTATCCCAACCCAGTGCTACAAAATAGCTCTGAGGGGTTGATTGATAGTGGAGAGCCCTCACATGATTTTTACCAGGCCTAGGAATAAATCCAGGTTATCCCAGGGCTGTATTTTATTCTAACAACAGCTTTCCCCTCGAGGGTTTCTACTGGCTGGGCCAAGCCCTCCTGAGCTCTTTTTTATATTTCAAATCAGTGGCTTCTTCCAAAAATTTAGCTGAGTGGGTGAGAAACAGCACCCTTGATGCTTAACATAGGACCTAGGCAAACACACTGGCCTAGCAGCTGACTCTGACTGGGCTAATACACATGGATATGCAGATGAAGGAAGGTGGGATTATATCCCTGACCTGCAAGAGCCATGGGTATTTCCTGGCATGGAAGGGCAGCCCCAGTGTCAGAGTGCTGGACTGGGCAGGTCTGGGACCCAGGCCCCATGCCTCAGTTTCCCCCATCTGTAACACAGGTAAGCAGCCTTGCTTTGGCTCTCAGGGAAGGGTAAGCGCCCCCATAACTCTGTTTCTACCCCTGTTTTAAGGCCAGGCAGTTTCTTCCCCAGGCAACATTGCCTCTCTTGGGGCAGCTGGGGAAGTGGGGTCTCTGGGCCAGGGGTTTTCCATGTCTCCTCCGCTGCAGCCAGAGGCATTCATCACCCTAATGAGCGAGGATCTTTGGCTGCCATGAGATCGTGTGTGTCAGGTGGTGATGTTGCCATTGGTCCCCATGGAGACAAGCATGAGATCACCCATGATGTTGGAAGCATGAAGCAGTGGGTCCAGTATGCCTGAGGTGGGGTATGGACCCCCTCACCCTGTGCCCATCACCGTGGTGTCTAGGCTCCTTGCTGTGTCTTCACTTCCCCAAGGAACGGGACAGCTGTCCTACATCATTCAGCAGCTGGCAGCCAGAGGCACAAACCTGGTGAACATAGTGACTGTCTCTTGTGCCCCTGCAATTCTCTCATGGACGCCCCCATAGCACAGACAATCCCCATTTACTATGAAGCCACCATCAGCCGGTGCTGATTCTGTCAGGCACCTGCTGCAACCGTCATGTTAAATCCCTGCTTTCCCTGGTGAGAAGGCTGAGCTACAGGCACTCACATCCATACCATCCTGCATCACCCAGCTGGGGTGTGAGATGCCGCCAGAAACCCTTGACCGGTTCTCTCAGTCCGTTACCAGGGCTCGGCCGTTGTGGCAGCAGTGAGCCCAGGTTCGTGAAAGCTTATGCTCTCAGTATCTCTTCTTGAGTACTCTGCAAAGGGGACTGAATACTTGGCCACAAAGCAACCAGCACCAATGCTGGGGGGCGCCAAGCAAAGCTATGCAGCAGGGTCTGTGCCCCAGCTGGGATCGATCATATGGGCATTTGCAGAGCCAGCTGCCAGCTCCCTCCACACCAGCTGCAGCAGACAGGGCCCTCTCCCCAGCCCCTGATGCTCTGAACGAGTTGCATGAGGACACTGGTTTCTCTTGGCCAAGGTAAGGCCACTGGGCACACCACAACGCCCTTGATGCCTTCTCCCCTCCATCATGAGGGCCATGCCCACCTCTTCCCCCCACAGCAGTCAGGCTGGGCCCACACCTACCTCTCGCAGACAGCTTCTTGGTGTTGATAATCTTGGCTGCGTACTCATGGCCACTGCAGAGTTTGACACAGCGCCGCACCACCGAGAAGGCCCCCCTAGAGAGAGGAGAGGAGAGCGAGACAGGACACTCACTGTCCAGACTCCAGCAAACCTGCACCAGCTCAGATGAGGTGGCGGGGTAGGGACCTGCCAGGCATGGACTTGGGGACAGAGAGATCCTTGATGGCTCCCTCCCCCGGCTGCCTCTGAAGCCACATCTTCTTGAGAGCCCCCTGCCTGGTCCACGCCAGGCCCCAGGGAGGATGGATTTGCTTACCAAGGCCATCAGGGACCCCTGAATTGGCTTTGTTTCCCAGTCCCATGGTGCAGGAGAGGCAGGAAGAGCTCTGAACCTGGCCCTGCCAGCCACCCTTCAGCTCCTTAACAGCAAGGCTGAGACTTTGCAGTCTCCCTGGGGTGAGGGGGCATGCATGAGACTTGCAATGGTGGCTTGAAGCTGAGCTCGAGGTGGCTGCCCTCAGGCCTTGACGGGGTTGACAGCACATGGCAGGGGGCTGTGGTTTCCAGCCGTGAGGGACCAGCTAAAGGCATTGTGCAAGCACGTGACACTCCTGGCCCTTTTCACCACAGAGCGTCAGGGCAGGGACAGGACAGACCAGGACTGGCCAGAGCCCGGGCCCTACTGCCAACCCCACAAGGCCCATCTCTGCCTCTCCAGCCTCCTGAATCACCTCCGGGAACATGAGGGGCTCTCTGCCCCCATCTCACTCCTGTCCTTGGGGCTCTGCTGCTTGGCAAACCCAGCCCAGGGGGTTTATTGACTCCTTTCATTCCCCCGCCTTAAGAATTTTCCCCTCCCAGTGATACCACCCTGCTCATTAAAGCAGCATCTGATTTCCTCCCCCATGCCCTTGCAAGGGGACAGGACCTGGAGGAAAGCTGTCAGGGGCTGGAGGGGAGGGAGTTGTTCTCCAAGGATGGGATGGGGGATGAATGGCTCTGGGGGGCTTAATTGCTCTTGATCCTCGTTATCCACCAGCAGCCAGGGAACAGCTCGGGGTGGAGGAGGTTCTGGAAGAGCCTTCCTCACACTGGGAAACCCACCCCATCACCATGTGCCAGCCAGATGCAGCTGGCGACCAAGCATCCCTGGAGCCACACCATGTTCCCATCCATCCCATGGCCAGCCCCTCTTCCCCTCCCCCTGCAACATGTGCACACACAGGAGCAAGGTCCATTGGTTAATTCCCCATCCTTTACTGCTGTCCTTCAACCCCAACAGTATGGTTCCCCTGGGGTCCCACCACAATTTCCACTGTTACCAGCTCCACATGGCCTGACTTAGACAGCAAGGGCTTTCCTGAGCCTGGCCCCTGCCTGCAGGATCTGTGCCTGGGGCTCCTGGCATCCAGGAGCTTGGCTTTACACCGGCTTGGGCAGTTTTCTAGCACTGCCCAGGAACCTCTGGGGGTTGGGAACGGCACGGAGGGCTGCACTGTGGGGTTGGGAGTCAGCTTGCTCGCTCTCAAAGCACCAAGTGCCCCAGGAAGTCAAGGGGGCAGGGGGAGCACAAGCCAGAGGGGAAGGGGTACCTGGAGACCCTGCCATGTGGGGACATGGCTACAAGGGGGGTTCAGGGACACAGGGGTCCCATGAGCCAGCAG